TTCCCCCGGAGGAGCTGGAGGAAGTGTCTGGAGAGAGGGAGGTCTGGGCATCTTTGCTTAGACTGCTGCCCCCGCGACCCGGCCCCGGATAAGCGGAAGAAAATGGATGGATGGATGGAAAATAGGAGAGAGATCTTGATATCATGGAAAAAGAAAAGAAACCTCACAAAAATAGCTTGTGTGCCACAGACAAAAATATCTTCCAGGAGTGCAGGAGCTCTGCAGAATCCTGTTTCCTGTTGCCACATTTAAATATAGTGAGTTCAAATGTGCTTCTTATTCTGAGCTAATGTTGCTAATGCTAACAGCCTACCACTTCTGGAAAGTAATAAGCACATTTATGCAAGTACTGTGCATAAGTACATTTTTTTAGGTATTTGTACTTTACCTGAGTACTTCACGTCCTGCTCCTTCATCCTGTGACTTCACTCCATGTCAGAGACAAACCGTGTACTTTTTAATACACTACATGTACCTGATACCTTCAGGCCCAGAATCAGATGAATCAAACCAAACCCAGTAGAACCATCAGACTCTATTGATCCCAGTAGGAAATCCACCAGCTACCCAGTAGGATGGAAAGTACTTCCCAGTATAAGTATATAAGGTAGTTACCATCAGCTCCACCTTTACCAGCTGCAGCATTAAAGTGATGGACACAGTAATTAGTCACTATGATCCAGTATCAGAGACGTTACTGGGACACGGGCCGTTCTGCTGGACGAGTACTGGTACTGCTGGTACTTCAGGTAGATTTGGAGGCTGATACTTTTGTACTTAAGTAACACTTTGAATGCAGGACTTTTATTTTGTAAGAGAGTATCTTTACACTGGTATTACTACTTCTACTGAAGTAAAGGATCTGAGTGCTGCCGCAGCTGATTGTCTGTGTCCCAAGTGAGGTACAGCATATAACTGATGTTTGATTTCTCCTACTGAAGTAAGGGATCCAAAAGATGACTGTCATTGACAGTGACTAAAAGTGTCCAGCAGGTGGCTCACTTCCTTTCACACTAGTTCATTTGGTCCCACCAAAGATAAAAACTGATCCGTTGTCTTTTGCTTTGTTTCATGTTGACACTGAGGAGTCTCCTGAAGTTCCGGGAGCCACAGAGAGGAAACAGTCTGCACATTACTGATGTACAAGTGATGGATGGCCAGTGATTATTAAAGAGTACATGGTAGGAACTTTCCCCAGTACATCCCTGATAAGCAGAGACGTGTTGAGCTGGCTTCAGCTTTAACTGGCTCTCACTGTACATACAGTACACATGGGTCGGAGCAATGTTCAACTAAAGAGCAAAACTGAACAATGAAGCTCCCCACTGACTTCTCATTGTTTCTGGCCCATAGTTATTTGCTAAACTGAAAATCTATCTCATGATGTGTGTTGATAACATTATTGATTATATTGTATCATCTTATAGAGCTGCAAAAACTCAGAGATGTACTGTATCAAAATGTTTTGGTAAATGGTCTTGTACAGTGCTTTTCTATGCATTGCAGCACACTCAAAGGACTTTCACACTATTTGCCCATTCTCACTCCCAGAGGGGTCCAGTGTCTTGCTCAAAGACACTTTGACATGTGGGCTGGAAAAGCCAGGGATCAAACCGCCAACCTTCCAACCACAGCCTCCCCACAGATGAAGAGGTCTAGTGTAAATGCTGTTTTGTGATTGGTCACGTTACCTCTCACTGCTCTTTGTTCGGATGCAGCCTTCAATGATCTGCTTCAGGTCTGGGTCTTGTACTTTGAAAAAACTGTCTGGTTTGGTTCCCTGAAAGACAAACACAGAGTCAAACACCTGGGCAGGAAGTGGGCAGTACTCAGGTGGGCGGAGCCTTACACTGGTGACCTTGCGGTAGATCTGGATGGCATTCTGACACTCAGAGTACGGATACTCGGATGTTGCCATCTCCAGAATGCACATGCCAAAGGCATAAACATCCACAGCTTCATCGTACTTCTCCTCATACATCTCTGGAGCCATGAACTCCGGGGTCCCTGAACGCACCACCAGTCACAATGAGAAGGATGTCACCAACGTCAAGCAACTGCATCCAACACCTTACTGTAAGTTACAGCTTGGACTTTGTAAAACTTGGACCAGAAATAAGGACTGTGATATGACCCTGCCGGCTCTCTCTGCAGACTCTGTTTGCTCTTACCAATGACACTCTTGGCGAATGAGGCCTTCTTGAGCGTAGCGAGGCCCAGGTCTCCGATCTTGACAGAGCCAGTGGGACCAGTGATGAAGATGTTGTCACACTTGAGGTCTCGGTGCAGGATGGGGGGGCAGCGTGAGTGCAGGAACTGAAGCCCCTTCAGAATCTCAAAACTCCAATGCTGCAGCAGCTTCAGCTTTATCGGACGGAATCTGCGCAGGTACCTGGAAGGGTTCAGGTGACATCCAGGAACTGAAATGTTATGGGTCATTCAGGAACTGAGAGTGGGAACTTCTGTTTCAGTTCTATAAAAACAAGCTTGCTATAGGGAGAAAAAAGAGAGCAGGACCCAGGATGGATCTTTGAGGAACCCCACTGGAGACAACAGCTGTGGAGACATTAACCAGTGCAGTGCTGTGCCATCAATACACTTTGAAGGTGATTAATCAGAACAGAAGAAGCTTTTGATCTACAGCTAATGTACCCTCCAGAAGAGTATTTTGTTTTAAAGAGTTATGCATCTATTGTCGAACGTTCTTTTGTTTCACTGACATTTGCATTTTCTTGTGTGGGATCAATGAAGTTTGAAAGTAAAAGTTGGTAAGAAATGGTTTTAAACCAGGTTTAAACCAGGCTGACACTTGTTATGTGAGAGCTAATGAAAAGACAGGGGCTATTAGGACCTATAAAACCCCAGGTTAAAAATAATCAGTAAGAAATATAAATCAAGACAAATAAAAATTATTTTAAAAATCGAATCTGCTCGACAAGACAGGTCCAGATCAAGACTCACGTTTTGAGTGTCCCAGACGTCATGAGCTCCGTCACCAGGATGGTGCATTTATGTCCCTTCACCATTGACTTCCAGGAGTCATAGAATCGGACAATGTTTGGATGCTTCAGGGTTTTCAGCATCTCCACCTCCTCACTGAACCTCTGACGCTCCATCTTATTCAGGCGATGAGTCTGAGGGGTTAAAGGGAGAAATGAATGCATGAATTCATCCGTTCACTCAAGTCACGGCCCTGTGAGTACACTGCGTCTCGTATTTCCACCATAACGGACACTGAGCCCTCATAGTCGCCGTACCAACAGACAGCTGAAGCTCTGCTGCAGAGCATGATGGGAAATCAGCAACACACACACACTGCTCTCTGTCTGCTTGTTTATCTGTTTCTGTTACCAGTTTCTCAAGGCTTGTTAAACTAGTGGTGCGGGATCCAATATTCAGTATTGGTATTACTGGATCGGACATTGGGAGGAGTATAATCCAATCCGATACAATCATGGACCTTTAGTTCTAAACTATCATAGAAATCCTTAATGACACCTGACACGCCTTTAAGAGATGTGAGCATCACATGAGCACTAGCTAGAACGTAAGTGAGAGGTGAGACCTGTCAGCAGTTATCATGTCAGCTGTGTGGAGTTATTTTGAACTCGAGGAAGAAAAAAGTAAAGCCAAGTGCAATTTATACAACATAAGTGTTTCAAGAGGTGGCAACAGCATTGGAAACTTCAGCACCATGAATTTGATTAAACACTTGTAGAAGCATCATGGAATGGAGTATGCTGAATTTATACAGGTAACAAAAGCCACGTTGAAATGTGTGCTGCAAAACAAACATTGCGGGAAACAATTCAGAAGCGTGAGAAACCCCCCCTCCAACAGCAACAAAGCAAAGCTGATATCGGTGAAAGTGACTGGATGACCAACCCCCTTCTGTAGTTAAAAATGTGGGTTTCCAATGCTTAATGGACTATTTGGAGCCTCGCTACATGTTGACTCTGGTTCCTTTGTAGAACTGTATCAGCAGCTCCTGAAGCTCCTCTTCCTGAAGTCCACTGTCATCTCCACTGTTTTGAGCATGTTCAGCCCCAGATTGTTGGGGCTACACCACAGGACCAGCTGCTCAACCTCCCGTCTGTAGGCTGACTCGTCACTGTCTCGGTTGAGACCAATGACCGTAGATCAAGGTCAAAGGTCAAAGTGTTTATTTGTCATATGCACAGTTAGGAAACGTGTTTCTCTGTACAATGAAATTCTTACTTTGCCGTCCACATGAATGCCACAAAATACGAGTGAAATATAAAGTAAATGAGCAATATAACAAATATAAATAGGCAGTAAAATCACAAATCTAAGGCACTTTAAAGCAGCAAGTGAAGGGAGCACAATAAAAATACAACAAGAACACAATATAATGCAGAGAGAAGTTTGCTGAATTTTATAAAAACAGTGAGGTGTACGGTTAGAGCAAGTGTCGGCTTTGGGTAAGGTTAGGGTTAAGATTAGGCAAGTAGCAGTTCTGGTTAAGGGTTAGGATAGGTCTCCTGGAAATGAACGCAAGTCTATGTAGGGACCCGGTAAGTGATGAGAACAAGGATGTGTGTGTGCGCTGTTATCAACATGAACCAGCAGCTGTCTGTCCAATCAGATACTGTGCACGTTACAACATGCTGCTGAGTCATGTTAACACACACACACACACACACACACACACACACACGTTTTCTTTCCACCCTTGTTGACACGATGCCATCCATCTAGCTGCATTTGTACCTGACACCGTGTGACTGATGTAGTTCATAGTGCCCAACTTCGCTGTTATCACCTCCACGCTGTGTTATCGGGCCTGATCAGGCTTTATAGCCTCCTCAGTGACTGTGCTGCTATCCTTCATTGACTTTGTGATACACACACAGTCTCAGAACTGGAGTTAGATCCAGGTAACTGGTTATTTCTCTGTGGTTACTGAACTGGAGACCGTGTGATCCCTGTGTTTACATTCATTCATCTGTGCAGGGCGGTGAGCGAAGTGAGCAGGTCGTCTGCAGTGGCATCTCCCAGTAGGAGAAAAGGGGAAAACGACTGAGAGCCTGTAGCAGCCACGGTTTCCCTGTTGATGCACCAAGCGCCGTAACATCGAAAGTATAAATCCAGCTTAACCTTAACCAGCACAACTACCCCCATCCTTAACCCCAACCTAAACCTGAGCCCTAAAACCAAGTCTGAAGCCTCGGATACACAAAGGTCCTCACTGTGCAGAAACATCCTCGCTACAGTGGCGTAAACCTAAAACTGGCTCCTCACAGAGACAAATACCCTCTGGTTCGATCTTTCTGTCAGAGACAGCATTCGGTCATGTTGTTGTTTATTCTGTTCAGCGGCACTAGGAGTCCTGAGCTGTGACACCTGAACCTATAAACAGTCTCCACCTTGTTAAAGCACCAACTGACCAGGGACACTTCCACGTGAATATAAACCATGTTTGACTGGAGGGGATGTGCACTGTGCTGCAGCGAGGAGCTGCAGATGCCAGTGTTTGACCCACATATGTGACAATGTGATGTGTCTGTCATGTAACAGACCAAGACACACCTGGACTGACAACTGAGCAGAGAACACATCCACATTAATGCTGAACACTGACGGAGGTGTCAGACAGGTGAGACACACCTGGTTGTAACCCACAGAGTAGCTAGTAAAGCTATTAAAACAATGGTAGAACATCTCTGTGTGTGTGTGTTAAAGATTTATTGAGCCTGAAGAGCCCACCTTGCTCTACACACATCACCTAACACTGGGCTTCCTCATTCTGAACTAATCAGAGCTGACTGTCAGTGGCACCAGCCCATAAAACCAGAAAGTCTGCTTCAAGGTGAGATACACACCTCAGATAACACACACACACAAACTGTCAAAGAACAAACACATTTCTTCTGTTCTGCATGTGGCATCTATTGTTTACGTGTTATAAAAAATCACCCTCTAAATAACTAAAAATAAATCTAAATCAACTCACCTAGTGTATCAGACACTGCACAGTAGACTGCACGTTTAGTGTCCTTGACATTAAACTGTGGAATAGTTGAACTTCTCATCCTACCATTCAACACAACTGACATAAAAACTATATCTTCCACCATTAAAGTTTTCAGATTTCTATTTTAATTCTGTTTAGTTTCATTGGAGTTTGATTCTATCCATATTTAAGATGAAACATTTTGTTTTGAAAGACTCTGTACAAATGACTTCCTGTACCACTCTCAGGGTCAGATTTTATTTCGTTAATCTGCTCTGATCACTTCCGTTACCACGACAACAGCAGCCGTTCCCCTGATGACCGGGGGCCTTTAATTAAAAGGTGCCGAGGTCTAGTTACAAACCCTCCGTTGGCTCTTTGCCGCTGCAGTTACAGACTATTCATCACTGTTTCAGATCAGTAACCAATCTCTGACTGATCAAACAGAACAACCTGTTGTCATGGAGACACTGCAGGAAAAGGTCAGGAGGTCAAACTGATCCTGAGACACAGCAAGGAGGTGTCACTACAGACGTCCCCATAGCTGACCAGTCAGCTTCAAGTCAGCCAGAAACAACCCGCGGGTGTTGAGCTGTCGCTAAGGGCGACTGCAGACTGTTCAACAACAACAACAGCGTATGGCGAATCAGACAGTGGAAAGAGGAAACACGTCATCACTTGCATATAAACAACAAACTTTCCTTTTTGTTTCACCTGTTTTTTTCTCTTTGGTTACTAAACTTTATTTAAAAGTGGTGGTTAACACCTGGCACAGGCCAGTGTTTTCTGTCAGCTGGCTGTATTCTGATTGGTCAGGATGTAGCTGTATTTAATCTGATTTAAAAAGGATAATCACCTTTATTGGCCAAGTATGTTACACACAAAGAATTTGTTTCTGGTACAGCACCAAGGCAGCTATCTGTGGCGCCAATTCGACTGATGGTTAGAGCCATCGGGGGCAGGTTCAGTGTCTTGCCCAAGGACACCTCGACATGTGGCCTGCAGGCGCTGAGATTCGAACCTTCAACCTTCTGGTTGGAGACGACTGCTCTACCCGCCGCACCACTGTCACCTCCCAACTCATGTTGGCAGTTTCCCTGTGTTATGTATGTTTATTAGTGTGTAGTACTTTGTGTGTATTTTTGTGTACCAGTATGCAATATTTTGTGTGTACCTCTTGTGCACTACTCGCCTGCAGTTCGCACCAGGCCACCTCCACCGTGGTCTCCGTGTCCAGGCCTCTGTAAACCTTCTTGAAGGACCCTCGGCCGATCTCGATGTTGAACTTGAGGAATCGCCCATCAGGAGAAGAGGCCACCGCCTTCGTCTCTGCCTCATCGTGCTCCTCCACTTCCTTGTGTTGCCATGGTAATGCTTCCCTGTTGGAATCTGGCAGTGTACCCACTGTATCCTCCCCCGACTCGGAGCTGGCATTCTGATTGATTGGAGGTGTTGCTGCAGCCTTTGATTGGCCCACAGGGTTGTCTTTAGGAGTCGTCATGATCATGGGAGGAAGAGGAAAAAGAAAAACTTCCTCATCCTCCTTTTCTTCTTCTGGTCTTTTGTGGGTATCATCAGTGATGCAGTGCAGCATCCTGCTCAGGCTCTCCTCCTCCTCGTCCGGTTTGTGTGCTGTCTCCACACTAGCACAGGTTTGAGGCCCTCGCCGTGATGTCAGAGGAGTGGGAGGGGCCGTTTGCTGGAGTATCAACAGAGACCTTGAATTCACATATATAACCTTTATTTATATTTAGTTCTGTTATTAGACAATGCAGAACTAACAGTAAGAACTACAAAGAACAAGACCTGTTGTTATATTCCTGTTCTTACTGTTACTGTGACACATAGGCCAATACAGCCTGCTGTACATACAGTAGGTACTAAACGTTTTCTATATATTCTGTATCTGAACAAGAACCATTTTATATATATACTTGAATGCAGTTTTCACATTCTGTTTATTCTACTTCTATTCTATTTTAGTTTCTTAAATGGTATGATCGTTCAACATTAGGTGAGAGAGAAACAGTATTTAGATTTTTCTGTATGTCCTGTACATATAGTGAATTGACAATAAAAATCTCTTGATATTCATTTATTACTAAAGGTTCACAGAATTTTTATTATGAGGAGGCAGCGCTGTTGTATAAAAGCTCAGTAACATTTTATTTCATTACTTAATTATTTAAAGTGATAAGTGACTTCATTTACAAGCTTATCATTACTAAGTAGTCCTATTTTATTGTGTTAACTTATGTCATAATAAAAATATAAATATGAACATGTACAGAAATAATTTTAACTGTTTATTATAGGCTACTGTCCCTCCTACTATTGTTACTAGTAGTAGTATTTTCTGTGGTTTATGAAATGTGATTAAACCAGAATATCACCATCCAATAAAGTGTGACTGCTGCATCAGGAAACCTTTTTAACTTTATGTAGTTTTATTTGAATGATAAATGAGGAGTGTATACGTTTTGCATTATGGGCTATAATCACAGTATTATATTATGATGTACTCACTGTGTCAGACGTAATTAGCGTTAATGGAAAAGGTGGAACCAGTAAGACCACAGCAGAAACCAGTAGAGTGTCTTTAAAGTCCAGGTTCAAACAGGGTCGGCCTCAGTCCGCCTTCGAAAGGACAAAACTGTCGTGAAACTTGGGCACAGAGTCGCCGTCGGTCCTGCCGCTGCTTCTGAGAAGTAACGTAGCCGGAGCACGAGCCCTATCAGCAGCGAGCAGATGGCACCGCAGGCCCCGCCCACCGGAAGACCTGTCACACACCTGAGAGATGTTATTTTTTTGTATTTTATGTGCGTGTGAGATGATGAAAAATGTATTAGAATATAGGCCTATCATCATTGAATTAGTTTTTATTAATAACTATTTTAGTCTCTTTTTATGTCTGTTGTTAAAATTCATTTAAGGAAGTTTGTAATGTGGTTTGTGTGGAGCGGAGGACGAGGTCACACGCTGTTCTTTAATGACGAGGTTCTATTGTATAGCTTTATTAAAACAATTTAGCAATTTAATATTTAAACAGGTTCAACAACGGTTAAAGAAATCTTATTAATACCTAGTGAGTTTTTATTTTATTTATTTAAAGGGCACTCTTCATTCACGTGAATAATAATTTAATTGATTATTCATCAGATTAACTTGTTTAAAAATCTTTTTTTGTAATGTTTGGGGCTGACCTCACCTCTGTCTGTCTGTCTATTTATTTATTTGTGGGCGGTGTGTCCCAGATTCCCGTGTCTCTCTGTCTGACTCCCGCTGCCTCTCCCGGATCAACACGTAAGTACCAAACCAGCTTTTTCTAATCATCTTTGGGTTATGAGCGGATCGATAGTCAGTTATTGCATCTGCAGCTCTGTTGAATAGTTTCATGCTGAGCAGTGTTACCGAGTTCAGACTGCTCTTCCACGTCTTTGTTTTATAGTTTCTCTGTAGATTTAACAGGCTCAGCTGAAAATCACGATCAGGATCTGAAAATAAAAACTGACAAAAACGGCAAAGATTGAGGAAGAAGTGTCGTGTCTCAAACTGTGAATAAAAATGTAGAACAGATGTTTTCACTGAAACTGGGAATCTCATAATTGTAATAATAAAAAGTACTGCATTCAGAATATATTTTATATATTGATTTGTAGCAAAATAGTCATTGTACAGAATGAGCTTTTTAAAAATCTTATGTTTAGCACATAGAAATACCTCAAAGTTACTCAAACTGAGATAAATACATGAAATATTTGAATTCAGTACCAGGCCTGAATGTTTCCGGTCCAGAAACAACACACTTTAATACAGTTTTCATTGGTAAACTAATGAAGTTTTCATCAGTACATAGTAAAATCACAGTTTAACACTGCGACTCGGCATCACTGATGTTTCCTTTGGGTTCCTTCTCGTTTCTCCTCCACCTGAAAATCTCTTGACCAAATTTTAATCCCACCGAGGATTTAATCTGATCATCGCCTTATCCTCATTGTTAATCCTCCCTCTGATCCCTCTCCTCTTCATCTTCTTCATCACTTTGTTCCCTGGTCTTAGCCTCCATCTCGCTGTGATATTATGTAATCTACTGTCTTTACTTTCTCAGTTTTCACCTGTTGTTTGAGGCTGTAGGAGTCTCTTTACAGGCCACCTCGTCCTAATCAGCAGAAAGAGTTTCTAAATGGTAAATAATGGTTTTATCGCTGGTAAATAAATGATGTAAAAAAAACTAAGCAGTAACGCAATACGTTACTGTTCCTAAATCCAGTGATTACAGTTATTAGTCAAGTAACGTGGGTTACATAGCGCCTTCAATTATCCGTATAAGGGACAGACAAAAACCAAATCAACATACTGTGTGTGTGCCAGTGCTCCTGAAACCAGTTTGTGGTAGTACAAAACTGGCAGAGCCGTTTATGACTTCTGAAGGAGGAGGTCGGTGGAGATGTGCACGTTACTTCAACTATGTTTCACGAAATGGCAAGAATATAACAGTAAAGTGCAAACCGTGCCCGACTATCCACCACAGTGAGCATGACATCAGACCTGTCCAAGCACCTAGAGGAGCAACATGCTAACACAAAGCTAGCAGCTATGGAGCCTGGGGCCCATAGTGGTGTTCTAGACACCAGCCGATTGGGGGCCGACCCCAGCCAGACAGCCAGAGCTGGATTTTCAGCTGCACAGGTAACAAAATGAACAGCATCTACAGCAGAATCGCCGTCTTTCAGAAACATCATTTACTCAGCAAGATGCACATAATGGACCCGCCGCTGCCAAACTGCGCACGTCCTGGACCACCTGGAAAACACGGGAGCACCTGGTGTAGGCTGTGTGTCTGGAGTAAGCAGGCCCATGGTTTATAGCCTGTTAATTAACTTTGAGATGGCTTTTATAAGATGTTCCTGAGTAACGCAGAAGTAATGTAATGAGTACTGTAACAAATTACATCCTACATGGAGTAATTATTTAAAGTGATGCATTACATTTTAAAAAAGTAACGAGTAATGTATAATAGGCTACATAACCTTTCTGAGTAATGACTCTCAACACCGGTTATAAGATGACGAAATGTGATAAATCTCTGGCCATTTCTGCTCCTTTAGTTTCATGAGTTTGACCTCTGACCTTCTAGGAAACAGCTGCAGATCATCTAGACCTGAATTCATTAACAGTTTATTTACAAGTACAGACTGTTAATTACCATTTGTTACTGACATTTCAACAGCCGTTATGTCTTGGGTTGTCTGTCTGACCCACTCTTGTCAACACGATATCTCAGGGACACCTTAAGAAAATTTCTTCAAATTTGGCACAAAAGTTCCACTTGGACCCAAGGATGAGGCGAACAGATTTTGGTGGTCCACACCATCTGTCCCATTACCATGAATTTGACTGGTTGGCAGAGGCAAACAACCGCAAAGCAGTAACTTTTGTTAAAATCACGTTACTCTATTCAGTTTGATCAGAGCCACCTGCTGTGTTAAACACTTATGATAACAGTTAGATCAAATCAAATCAAATTTATTTATATAGCACTTTAAAAACAACATCCAGTTGACCAAAGTACTTTACATAGACAGAATAAAATCACGATAAATAACTAAAATAACATAAAGACAGAGCAGAGCTTGTATGTGTGTTGTCCTAGTAGGCCGTCAGGCTAGATAGCTAGCTTATAGTTGTACCTCAGTGTAACTTTCAAAGCCTGTCATGACCCAGCTACATCAGTGTGGAAGGTTAATGGTCCCTTCAACAGAATATTCAGCTGAAACTAACTGGCAGTGCAGCAGGAGCTGTGTGACAGGCAGAGTTTCATGATCTTCAGTCTTTTCTCAAACTTTAATTGTTTTTCATTTGTGTTCATCTCATTAATTGCTCTGCTTCAAAATGGCCGCTACTGGCCAAACCTGTGACAGGAAGTTCAAGTGATGTGCCATGTTGGACTGTCTCTGTATTAACTCTTCCATCAAAATAAGTATGTTCAAACATTAGAAACATCCCAAATCTCATATCCACATTTCCTTCACTTGCATTTTTTCCATGGGTCTTAATCCCATCCACAGAAGATGCAAAGAAAAGTGCAAGGAGACAGGAATCAAGGAAGCGTTTAGAGAAACAAGATGTCCTTTCTTCTGATCCTTCAGCTGAAGCATCCAATTAACAACTCGTTTCTTATAAAAGGGTGTGTCAGTTCATAAAAGGCTTCCACAAAGGATGCTTCTGTGTATCCTCACTCATGATCCCTCCAGCAGCCTTCTTGCTCCTCACCCCTTGTAGGAGCAATAAAAGCTTTGGGTTGTCCTTCAAGATGGTGGACCAATATGACTTCCAGGTTGATCAAGAAGCAATGAGTGATAGAATAATGGAATTGGGGTTTACCATAAAGAGTCTTGGGTTAAGCTCAAGCTTCACTCAACTCAGAAGTCATTCTGGTCAGTCAAAGAGTGAGGAAGGATGATATAAGAGACTTGGAATGTACCCAGTGAGATTACCACTGCTCTCTTCTTCTGTGGTGGAAGTGTCACTACACAGGATGCATCTTCTTCTTCTTCCTCCTCTTCTTTTCCTTTCATGGCCCCACCTGGTGACGTCATCTTCACCACTTACTGAGGCCCTCTGGCATGGTGGTGACCGTGTCTCCGCCAATGTGTGCCAGCGCTGGGAGACACTGGACAGAGGACTGACAGTCCGCTGCAGCGGACTGAGACTGACACAGGTCTGTGTGTTACAGTATGGGGCCATACAGGTGGTGTGCCTTATGGGGACTTATTTTGTTAATGCACTGTGAGGACGTTACTTCATCACAGTTTAAGTGTTTAACATTTGGTGTGAAAGGTCCAGAATGTGTTTAGCTTAGCTTAGCACAAAGACTTGAAGCAGGGGGAAGCTGTTAGCTTAGCTTCAACAAAAGTAAGGAATAATATCTGCTGCAAATCAAAACACTAAACCCTGCTCCCAGTGAAACACTGTTGCTGTTCATGACAGATAAATTATAATTGCAGTGTAGTTGTTCGGAGGCATCCCTGTCACTGATGAAGTCATTTTGCTTGGCTGTCTCATCAGAGGCTTTTTACCTCATTATGGCTAAAACATTAAAAAGGTTGCAGTGGGAATTATCACTTTTTATTTCTCTTAGGCTGGCCATTTCACCCTGCTTCCATTATTTGGGCTAAACCAGTCTAAAATATATCTGGATATATGCCTGTACTGGATACACACAGATTAAACTGATGTCCATCCTCTCATCAGGTGTGTTGTGTCCTCAGGTACCTGTTGGCCTCCCCAATCTCACTAGTCATCTGTTTCTGGATAAAAACCTGCTCAGCTCTCTGCCAGCCAACTCGTTCTCTGATCTGTTTTTGCTCAATGAGCTCAACCTGTCACACAACCGGGTACCGAGCAAACACTTCTTTGTATTTACAACATAAATTAATAGAAACCAGTGGAACCGTAGAAAATAATGTTGGTGTTCAGTCAGTGTTGGCTTTCTGCTTCCTGTGTCCTCTCAGCTGTCATTGTTGGAAGCCGGTTGCTTTCATGGTTTGGTGTCCTCTCTTCGTTTCCTGGACCTTTCATCCAATCGGCTGTTGACACTGGACCCGGCAGCGCTCGGCGGGCTGACAGTTCATGCCAACCTCACACACAACCCCTGGCACTGTGACTGCAAGATGCAAGTGAGTTTAATCAGGTGAAATGAGAGAGGACTTCCTGCAGCATGCTAGCTGCACCGTCACAAGACAGATATAAAAGAGGTCATTCTGGTAAATATTCCTGTGTTTCTGTTTGTGTTCAGGTGTCGATGCCTCAGTTGGAACTAGATTCTTCCTCTCTGGCTCAAGTTGTCTGCCAGACCTCTGATCTTCCAAACCTTGGTGTGTAAGTTGTGTTGGGCTCGCTTAATGTTGAGTGTCACCCAACATATATTGAATAAATACAGCTGGTACAAAACGGCAGGATTATGAATCTTCTAGCAGCAGTAAATTGTCCAGACTTGATCTGTGAGCATGAACATATCATCAGCTTCAGTGCAACTGTGAATATTACATGTTGTATATCTGTATGCTTGTGTTCCAGGAGCTGTTGGGATGCCACTGGTCTTACTGGTGGAGGACTGGGATCTGTGTCTGTCTGTGAGGAGAACCACAGATGTGGTGATGCTGGTCACCATGTTCCTCTGGTTCTCCATGCTCATGTGCTACCTGGTCTACTACATCCGACAGAACCAGGCACACGTTCGCCGACACATGGACTACCTCAAGTTACTGCAGAGCCATCAGGTGTAGAAGATGGAGCACTACTTGAAGGAGACCACAAGGTGTCATTATGTTCCTCATATTTATCCTGGGAGAACTGGTGTCAGTATCTGAAGTGTGAAGCAGAGTTTCACATTTTTGGAAATCCTCACTTTTGCAGTCTCACTCTGGAAATCCCTGCAAGGACCCTTAAAACTTCCTCAAAGAACTGTCGAACCTCTTCAAGGTCCATAGAACCACATTAAGGACTTCTATAGCCTCCTTAAAGGCCAATGACTCACTGAACCTCCTCAAAGACTTCTGGAACTCTCCTTAGGCCATTTCAAGGACTCCCTGAGCTTCCTTACTAACATCTGTAGCTTGTTCAAGGACTCCTGGAACCTATTGACTGACTACTGGACCTTTCTTTGGGAGGCGACAGTGGTGCAGTGGTAGAGCAGTCGTCTCCCAACTAGAAGGGTGAAGGTTCAAATCTTGGTGCCTGCAGTCCACGTGTCGAAGTGTCCTTGGCCAAGACACTGAAACCCCCCCCCCA